ACATAAATACTAGCTTTGTAGCTTATCTTTAAATCAAAATTATGCCAATGTTATTTACTCAAACATGTATGCGTTAAATGTGTGAACAAAAATTTCTATAGGTATAAATTTAATTTTATAAACAAATGCCGTTCATCATTCACTAACCATATCACATTTAAGTGGATTTCTTTAATTATCGCATGTTCAAAAATCAATTTTGACCGTTTGAACTTGAATTAAAACGGAATGCCATGAAAGAACCACAAGAAGAAAAAAAAATGTCATGAGGCGTAATTGTTTTTTCCTCAATACCAAATACAGTTCGATACATAAAATAGTTTGCATTTCTGTTGATTATTTTATCGTTTACCCTGCAGTAGTTTGTTCTTGTATGACTCGTTTTCTTTCGCAGAGTTTTTCAATTTTCAAATGGTGTTTAGCACCAATTCATTATACAAATCCAAATGAAATATATCTCATTGTGATTGATATCTTACATCGTGTACTTGGAGCGGGCAATATTCATTGGAATATAACCGCTTGAACAATGCACGGTCTCGATTTAGTTTGAGACTGTGAACTAATCTGTGAATAAACCGATTCCCCTCATAAATTATCAATAATAATAGAATTTTTTTTTCATCTATAATATTTGCAACGGCTTCTATTGGTATTCGCCAAATGGAGCAGTTAATATTACATTACCGTCGTCAATCGCCTTCTCCGTCTTATTCTCGCTGCAAAATATAAATATATATGAAAACGGTTAAAATGCAATTAGTTGGATTGCATTGATGAAATTAATAATGATGGTGGACTGTGTGATTGCTCTAATCAAATGCCATGGCCATTTGACTAAATTCCCCAATTATTTCATTCAATGCTTTATTATGTAATTTTTTTATGTTTGTTCCTTATTTTATATGTTGTGGTCTATTCGAGTTATGGTTGATGTATTTTAATCATGCAATCGATCGATTGAATAATTTCTAATTAATATCATAAAATAATGTATTTATTAAATCAATAAAATACCATAAATGTTCACATACTGGTTAAGTGGGGGAGGCGTTTAATCGATTGTAATGTTCAGCGATTCTATTTCGTGCGTAACCGATATTGATAGTAAATATGAACGTTGTTTTTCAATGGATTTATGGTTTTTGTGGCGGTCAAGTTGAAATAAACAGCATAATTGGTGAGTTGTGAGTTGTTGACATGTTAATGTCGCGACAAGATGAACCAAAATATATATATATGTATATCGTCTAAACACACACAAACTCACTAAATACACAACACACGTGGCAATAAAAGTTTGTGGTTTTGTCACTTTATTGCTGTGCCCTTTTTGTGTGAATGTATAAATTATTGAGTCACCAACAACATGATTAATGATCAAATTAATTTTATGTAATAAAATTTAAAGAAGAACACTAGTATATCAAACACCATACCGGTAAAATAAAAGTACTCAAACAGAATAATTGAATATGATTTATTTACCATGCAATATAACATTATGCCAAACTATTAATTATATTTAGAATAATATTAATGACTTTCAACATTTGTTATGCACAGATTCATTACAACCAGATAATATTCAGTCATTCACTCGATGTCACTGTGCAATGTGGTTGACAAGCATCCATAATCGATGAAATTACATTGAATTCTCTTTTAATATCAAGAGAGAAATAGTGCGCAAAGAGCAAGCGGTAAGTGGAATGGCACCCGGCAGAAAAACCTAAAATATTTGATTGATTCACACTCATTTAAGTGGAGGAAAAAAAAATTAAATAAATTTGACTTCTGTTTAATAAAAATGGAAAATAAATCTTGATGAATTTACCGAAAATTTATGGAAACAGAAGCATAAAAAAATTTGAGTAAAAATGAAGATTTATAAAAAAAATGTCTTTTGGTGAATGCTTGCTCAATCTTTGATAAATTCATTTTCTATGCAAAACCAATGGAATTTTTCATAATAAATAATAGGTTTTTACACTCAAATTCAATCATCACGTTACTAAAATGCCATTCGCATAAACTTTTGTATGAAACAGGGTCATGAACCCAACAAAAATCCGCCAAATTGTGTAAATCTGCATATGATTCGTTTTAAATTTGGAATCCGTTCGTTCATCTTTTTTTCCAAGCAAATCGATCGCGAACTGAAAGTTTTCAAGCGAGATGCTTTCGTTTACATTTTGTTCCCCTAAAGTTATGCCATAAAATTATCTTAGCTTAGATCCATTGTGTATTTGCTACGACATAAATATCGAAATATAACGATTGTTACGAATCGGTTGTTTTAAACGGAGTGTTTGCTTTGTTTCGTGCCGACATCGTTTGGAATTTAATATAGTTAAGGAAGTTTGTTTCTTTCAGGTATTTGCAATACCAAAAATGGGAATCAAACATTCACGGAGCGATGAACAACACAAGATGCAGTGTCATTCACGATCAGTATACTCACAAGCGTACATTTTATTCATTTGTTTGCTGCCTCTCTTCCTTTCGCCTCGATTCGCACACCGGCTATCAGAATATATTCGCATAATGTACATAAGAGATTTTCACGTTTTTCGCCCAACCACAAATATCACAACGAAACACAATGTTTGGCGGGCACTGAATTTGGTATTGTTGTTGTTGTTGTGTGTGTTTTTTTTTTATTCGTTTCAAGCTGTGTTGTAATTTCGATTTGGTTCGACAACAAAAAATCGATTTTCGAAATCTATCGTTCGAATAGAAGTCGCACATGAATTATTCCTGTCGGTTTGTTTGCGCACACAGACACAAAATTGATTAAGAATTTTTTTGTGATTGCTTCAAATGTTTGACTTTATTTTAATTACAATGGCCAACCGAAAACCTCGCCGCTATATATATATGTGTGTGTGTGTTTGTGTGTAGACAGGAAAAAATGAAAATAGGCAGAATGCACCAAACAGTACATGGTCACAATTGAAAACTAAACCATTAACGAGTCAAAGGCGACACAATGCAAACACACATCTCTTGGAACCGAAGAAGATATTCAAATGTAAATTGTAAGCCCTTTTCTGAAAAAAAAAAAATTATAAATAATCTTTAATTGCTTCCATAGTGGAGTGACCATGTCACCTAATAAAATCGTGCAACATTATCGATCAGCCAATACTAATTGGATCACTTTTGATCACGATTCCATACATTTATACAGCATTTTCTCACAATTAAAATAGCACTGTACTCGATGGTTTCGTTTCGATTCGCTTTGCTGTACCTTGACTTCTTATATGTGATGGTGGTGTGCTCTTTTTTCTCACTCTACATGTATCTTTCTTTCTCTTCTGCTCTCGCTCTAGTAATTTATCTATATTTTTTTTGTCCGTGCGGGACTTTTGCTTTTGGTTTCTCGGATTTCGTGCAGGAATACACCGAACACAGAATGGAGCATTGTTCCGGAAAGCATATGCAAGTGTGTGTATTTTTGTTTTGTCATTTTTGTGATAAAAACTAGAATATGGGCATGCATTAAGCATTTCGCTTCATATTCACGGTCCATTCGATTTGCGATGGGTCCGCGCTTCTCGTGCACTCTTCTCTTGTTATTTGTTTTTCTTCTACACACGACAAACACACACAAACTATTTGGTTGTTGTTTTTGTTCATGGTTGCATATCGATTTGATTGCCTCAGTATTCTTTCGTTTTGATTGAGACAGGCTTGAACGCGACCCAATCTAGAAAAATAAAAAGGAAGTTTCGATGTGATGCCTGTTTTTCTGCTCTTGTTACATTATGTTCGCAATAGTTTTATAATAAGCGATTTATTTTGAAATGTGAACGCGCACAACGTTCAGCGACGACGGCAAATTATAAGAAGAAAACAAAAATTGATTGCAGAGGTTATCGGTTGAAATGTATTCGAGAAATATTGACAGAACAGAGAATGTCTTTGGTCGATTTTGTGGGCATTGTGTGCGAGATGGTGCACATATGTGTATCAGTTTCTTTTATTCACAATAAATGTATTTCAATCGCGATTTTTATGCCTTCTCTCTCTCTCCCCATCTTTCTTACTCATTCAATCAGTTGTTTTCTCAGGCGCATGCAAACGTCTGGTTCCATTGAAACTGGGGAAAGAAAATCGGCCAAATTAGACAATTCCACTATTTTCTGAAGTAGTGAAAGATGTGTGGGATTTTCTTTTTTTTACTCAATTTTTTGCCATTACGACTATTTTTTTGCCGTTCAAATTGTTCACATCTTTCGTTAGTAGAGCGAAGAAAAGATAAAGAGAGAGATGCAGCTTGTGTGCAGTATGGATTTTATTTCCATTTTTTTTTGAATCGCTCCTCTTCTTGCCGACTAACGACATTTCTGAAAAAAAAAAAAAAAATAATTCGTGCTTCTTAAATTCAATGGACCCCAACATACGCATTTTATTTTTATTGTTTACTCTGTACTCATTGTCCTAACCAGGTTTCTTCGTTTTTCCCTTTGCATTTTGAATATAATCATATGAACAAGGAGTATCCTTTACATAATGATTTTCTCTACCTCTTTGGGCACACAATTCAAATTGAGTAATTGACAATACGTTACACGCTTAGTTTTATCTCATTGAAAATGAATGATTTAACATGAAAGATCAAAAGCCATCAGTTGGTTCTTTTTTTTCTATTTTCATGTTATTTAATATAAAATAAATAAGCCATCTAGATATTGATTGAAAATAAAAACATACAAACTAATTCAAACCCAATAAAATTGATTAATAAATAAAACACAAAAGAAAATTCATTTAAATGTGTGTGTATGGAAGCGGTTACGATACACACCGTAGTATGTAAGCTTTGAATGCCAAAAGTAAAAATGAAATATAAAACATAATCCACAATATTTACTTAATAGAACGTCGCTACAATGTCGTTTGCATCGGACAACCCGATTTTGCTACATCAGTTGCGACAACGGACGATAATGAAAAAAATGACAGCTTTGCTTTCTCAGTCTGCCACAACATCAAGAGCAGTAGAAATTTCTATTTTTCATAAATAGTTTGATTATTTATTTTGGTATTTTGTGGGAAAACCCGCTCTCGATATTCGATTGGTGAATAAACAAAATGCAAAACATGAGTGAATTTAAATCGAAACAATCGAATTGAGTTGTCTGCGCGCGTGTATTTCTTGAAAGAAGAAAAAGAGAAAAAAGTAACGAAGACGAGAAGCAAAAGGAAAAATACCAAAACCAGACAAAATGTGCTTTTAGTATTGTTATTTCGAAATAAAATAAACAAGAAAAATAGAGTGTATGAATCCGAGCAATGAAATTGATCAAATCAAAGAAGTACTGCCAGTAAATTTTATGATTTGTGTTTGCAATAGAGAAGCAAATCAAATCATTGAAATTTCGGCGGTGACAACTCACATAAAACGCCAATGAACCGAAGACTTTCTTTGGATAAACAAGGTGAATATTTTACCGCAAACAAATTTAAAATCGGTGCATAAATGTGCAACGTTCGTTCCACATGATTTTTTATTTGTGTTCATTTAATTTGCAAAGAATTGAATTGATTCACTTGGGCCAGTTTCATCATCTGTCTCAACACGCTAAACACTCGTGCATTTGTGTATATTTTGTGTTATTATTTTCGAGAATAGCCGTGCGTTCGATATACATGCTTCGGTTGTTATACATTTTTTTTTCTTTGCCAAAACAGTGTACGACCAATAAAAATAACTACGTTTTTGTCTAAAATAATGCAATTGCCATATTTAACAACAAAAAAGAAGCATTTTCCAAATAGTGAATGATTAAGAATCGTCAACATTTGAAGCAAGAAAAAAAAATTGAAATAAAATCAATCGGTGATAGTTAATAAACATGTGTGAGTGAACTAGTTTTTCACATGGATGCAGTTTTACCTGATATCTCTAAAACCAAATAAATGGAACAATTGATAAAATTGCGCCCAAAATGTGTGAATATCATCGGGATGATATGTGTACCACACTTTTACCTGTTTTCATATCATTTTTGTTGTTCGTTGTTGTTGTAATTATTCGCATCTTGCATTAGCTCATCAAGCGATGATGATGGGATGCTGCTGCTGTTGTTGTTGTTGTTGTTGTTGTTGTTGTGAACATTGTTCGGCTGTATGTGATATGTACAAAATGTGGATGTGATTCAAGTCACGGCAAATACCAAAATTTAATGGAGTTATGTCCCATCGAATCATTTTGAATATGCGTACGCCGTGCATGCACATTGTTATTATTACATTTTTTTGTGGTTGCTCCTACTGCCAAATGCTGCTGTTGCTGCTGCTGCTGCTGCTGTTGTTCAATTACACACCTCATTCAATTGCAGTGCGCTTGTGTTAGTGTTTACAATCTTAACCAATTTCCTATTTGGTGTCAATGTGTGCGTGCATAAGTGTGTTAGCTTGTCCTTTTACCATGGGATCTATATGAAAGAGATGAAAAGACACAAACATTACTAAATCTCAACGCAACGAGATGAAATCGATCAAAATTCACATTTTTTTGCGGAAATTCAATTATTTGAGAATACCAGTGATTTTTAATGAACTATTTCAATTCGAATCATGAATTTCCATTCATATGTCTTGACTACTGTTGCGTTCATATCGTAAAAGATGTAAAAATGTTTTATGGTCATCGCCATCTTGTAAACAATAGCCAAACTAATATGCATTCTCAATGAATGATGATGATAAAGGGAAAAGAACATTTTTTTTGTTTTCTTTTTTTATTTATTGACTGTTTATTCGGTAAAGTGGTACTTCAATGTAATTGAGTCAATGAGTATTTGTGAAAATATTCGAGTGTTTGGAAGACGATGTTGAACATTTCATTGAATACTATATTGATGCTGTGATTTTCAATCTGGATTTGATTGTGGAGCAAGGACATGCGATACCAACCAAAAACCGATATACATTTCAAATGAAATCAAATCTTTAACTATATTATCCAATCCATTCAATGTCAAATGGTACTGACACAAAAACCAATACGATCAACACAATTTGTGCAATAACTTTGAATAATTTATTAAGCGACTAGTAAACATAAAATATCCGTAAAGTCCTGTTCAATTATCACAGAAAACGGTTATGTGGTCGTTATAATGTACGTATACACCGCTAAAAATGTGGAACAAATGAAATGCACACAAAGCATGCGAAAAGAACAATTTTTTGTTGTTGTTGAAAGAACGAAGAGCGAAAAGAGAAAAAGAAGGAAATAAAACATATATGCATTTATTCAAATGTGAATCGGTCATACAGTTAGACATATTTATTGTGATGGCCAAGTATGTTGTGCGCGGTTTGGTGATATGATGAAAATGGAATGTGTGTTTGTATGTGATTTGATGCGAAGTTTTCGCGTTTTTCCTGAAAGAGTTTAAGTACGGAAATCAAAACGGTGTAATCACAATTAAGTACGCATATCGGGTTACCTTGTGTAGATAATGTTTCATTCGTTGATAAACTTTACTTCTAATTAGCTTGTGCGAGAGAGTTCATACGAGCAAATGATTTTTTTTACCATTTTCTTCATGTGTGTACATATTTTCGTTCGTTTTCTGTTTCATTTAAATTCATGTATCTATGCGATGTACAATATATATATTTTTTAAATTTTATTTCTCCGCTCGTAAGACCATAAGACAAAGGGAAAGAGGAGAAAGCTCTCAACCACAGATAGCAATATATATTCTATAGTATTAAATCACACATATCCGAAGAGCACACAAACGCGCATTCACACATCAAAACACGTACACATTGATAGAATCCGAACACAAAACGTAGCCTAATAAATAAATGCGCAAACACCAAGAGAACAACAAATACAAAACGTGTTCATGTATCATGGCTGTCGCCATTGTATAATTATTGTTCACAGTAATACATTTTCCCTAATATCAAATAGTAAAACACACACGCACGTCGAACAGCGACAGCGACAGCAACAGCAGCACTAGTAGCAGTAGCAGCAGCCAAGGTACGAACACATGAACCTATGCACGCATTCTCAGAGCATCGAAAACAATACCCACCACACTCATATATTCCATCGTATACGGATGCATATTTATGATACATACACACGCAGTCCGAGAGAAAAAAAAAAGTGAAGAAAAAAGAGTCGCAGTCGCAAAACATAAATGTCGATTTCTTGAATTAAATGTGTGTGTTTGTTCGACGAAAAAAAAAAAATATTAGAAAAAAAGTGACTGATTTCAATAATAAATAGAGAAAAAAATAAAATTCATTTATTGTTTGGTGTGTGTGTGTGTGCTGTGATTTCAATATTTTTTTTTGTTGTTTATCACGAGTTTCACTGTTTTCATAAAATTTAAGCACACCAATTTCAAGATTATGTGAAAATACTGAAGTTATTTTTTGTGTGCTACTGCTGTTAAAGGCCAACAACAACAACAACAATTTACTACTTTTACACAACAAAAAAAATACAAGAAATATATACACCACCATTCGTTCCATGCAATTTTCATGGCATATTACACCGAATAAATCTCAGCACAGTCTTTTTTATACCTCCAAAGAATCAAAATAGTAAACGCATAAAATATTTATCGCGGTAAAAAAAACACACACAAAACACCGAAATACCGTTCACACAAAATAAATTAATTTGAGAATTGTGAATCAAGGAAGATTCGTACAGCAACAACCGATCTCTGTGTGCATGAATGAGTATGTAACAAAAATTGTGTAGAAGTGACTTTTTTCCTTCCAGTTTGCTTGAATCTCTTTCATTGTAGTTTTGGTAAAAAAAACCAAACACATAATTTGGAATTGAAACAACAACAACAACAACAAATTTTTAAGAAAAATAGTGATTCGTTTAAATTTGAATAGTGTTTGAAATGTATGCCGTTTAATATGAAACAGTTTAACGAAATAAAAATGTAGAATGCAAAACGAATTGTTTAAATTACTATATTTATATTATTGTTCATACTAAATAAACAGACATTAATTAATCGCCGACGAACAAGACAATTTCTGATTTCAATGAAATTTTAACTGGATATAAACAAATCGAATCTTCTATTCTTTGCACTTATCATGATAGTCTATTTTTTATCATAGTGTTTTTATCCGTTGAATTTGTTATAAACCGTTGTTTGTTGTTATTAATGTGTGTGTTTTTTGTGTATTTAAGGAATATTATCCCCGACGGGATCATTTTTGACGCCAAGTCCATCACCTTCAATACCAGCTAGCCCACGACTACAACCATCACCATCACAATCGCCGTTTCAATCATCAGATGTGATTGTTATAGGAAATAATTCAAATCAAGACAGCGTACGTATATGAATACACCAATATGATGGAAATTATTTATCAATTTAATTGATCTTTTTTTTTTTAAATTCGGTTTTGTAGGTATCTGCGCCCATAAGGCGGCAATCTTTTAATCAAATAAGTAGCCCAAACACTAGCGCTGTGGTTTTCAGACCGAGTCCAACTCAATCACCGGCTGCTGCCACAACCGTGGTTGGCGTAGTCGGTAATGAATTCAATACAACCTTAGTTGGATCCAACAATATTTCATTAAATAAGGTTGGTACAATTTCGTGCAATTTTTTTGACATTTGTGTAATTGATAACAATTGTTTTAAAAATGTTGTCATATTTTCTTGTTGCTCCACACAGAAGGGTAAGCGAAGCGCTGTTAATCAGCATGGAAGTGGATCTGTTAATACAGGCAATTCCAAAGCTTCCTCGTCGACGTCGTCGTCGGCGAAAAAAGCAGCAGGATCAAACACAGCCACAAATATAATAACAAATACAGGTATATATTTGTTGTTTTTTTTCTTCTTTTAATTTTGCAAATTGGCTCAATTCACTTTGTTTTTATGTCTTGCTTGATCGAACGTTTTTAAACTCTTTTCTCTGTGGCTATTTTTTTATCATCACTTTCAGATTTATTCGCTAAAAACATTCGAACGCCGCCTCCAGTTCAATCGGTTACATATTCAAATAGCACAACTCCGTTATCCTATCAACCGGTCTTAGGTGGTGCTGTTATTCAACAACCAACAAATCAGGTGCAAATTCCTAACGCTGCATCAGCAGTCAAACACAATAAATTACCACCACAAATATTACCCAAGGTAAGTAGATGCATTTATATGCAATTGCGCTTTAGTTGAATCAATTTCTATAGTATAGCACAAAAAACGATAACCTTTGGCTTCAAGATGACCACACACTGAAAACGTCTAACCTATATATTGTTTGCGGATTTTTTGAGAATTTTAGCAGTTTTTTTTTTCTTTTCGTTAACCCTTTCTTTCGTTTCATTTTTTTATTTATTTGTGCAGCCGAACATTTCAAACAGCAGTTCTGTGATCACGCAACCTAAAAACACGACTTCAATGTCGACCGCTCAATGTGAATCGAATCTAACGCAACAGCAACCGCCACAACATCAACCCACTCAGCCACAGTTAAATACACAACAAATGCAATCCAATACACAAACGCCGACACCACAGCAAAACGCACCATTGATCACTACAGGTAATGTTATCGCTAATTTTGCCAATGTTCAAAATTAACGGTGTTACATTTATCTGATATTGAGTTGTATGAATTTGATTACGATAAATATATAAGTCGGTTCATGTTTCTCCAAATCAATGAAGAAAGAAAAAAGAGATACCGAAATAAACCGCATAAATCTATTGAATATGCTCAAACATGTTGGGCGATGTTTATGCGAAAACATGCATGAAAATTGCTCCAATTAAAATTTCACTCAATTTTATCGTGTTCGCAGTTCGCACACGCATTACTACCACCCGTGCAATGAAATGCATGAATTTGTTTTTGTTTTATGCATTTTGCGTAGTATTTGTCAAAATGCTGTAGTTAATTTCTCAAATCGTATATGCTTGATTAACTATATTGATATTTTATTTTTGGTTTGGATTCAAAATTAACGCTATTGGTTTCATTTCAGCAGCACAACATCCAGCCCAACAAGCATCACCCATCATTTTACCCAATTTAAATCAATTATTGCTGAATCAAATGCTTCAACAAAATGCTCCAATGATCCTTCAACAGAATGCACCTCAGGGTATGTACTTTCTTATTTTAATTCTTATTTTATGCGCCACAAATACAAATGCATTTTTATTTTTGATATGTTTAACTTGACTCCATATGTTTGTTTATTATTTCCAGGTGTTCAATTAATTTTAAGACCACCAACTCCACAAATTGCTGTTATCCATAATTCTCGGCCACAAATTCAAACGCCGCAGCAACCTCAACAGTTGCTTCGGATCGTTAATGCAAACGGGCAAATGCAATTAGCAACTGCGACACCAACATTTATCGTTTCGTCACAGTCGAATTTAATCCAGCAAAATTTGCAAGGAATCAAAGCGCAAACATCAAATCCACTGAATCAATTGCAAGGTCTTACATCGCAAGGACCACAACAAATAGCTGCGATCAGTGGTGGACAACTCATTGGACGGAGCATGGCTCAAATACAATTGAACGGCAATCTTGCCCAAATTCAAATGCCAAATGGCCTGAATGGCCAATTTATATCGCAAATACCGGCACAATTTCAACAAAATGTCACAGGTTTCAATCAATTCAATCAATTAGGTAATACAAATTTTCAACAATTGGCCACAACGGCAACCGGTACATATATTCAATCGCCGCCACCACAACAATCATCCGATATGGTCGTTACGGGGCCCAATATCCAATTTACAACACAACAAACACAGAATGTAAGTTTTTCTCTTTTTTTTTTGATGGTTTTTTTAAATGTGCCCCATTTAATCCTTGAATTTAGAAAAAATGAAAAAAACACCTACAAATAAACATTGCAAAATGAATTAAATAAAGTCACTCAACACATTAATAAGCTTGAATGAATTCCGTTAATTTTAAGGTATCTGTTGCTCAACCATTACCTTCATCGCAAATCATCGCTGTGCCCCCTCAACAAACACAATTAATTCCGACAACAATTCCCACTCCAGAGCCAATTCGTAATCCAACACCCATTTTACCTACAAATGCTGTTGTTGTTCCCGATTCACCAAAAAATCAAGTCTTTTCACAGGTAAATTTAGACCGTTTTGTTACGTTTTGAAACGTTGAAATTATTTTGACTACAACCAAAGAAAACCACAACTTCATGAACATGTTTCTTTTCTTTCTTACCAAAAAATTACAATAAATTTTTCTCGATTTATTTTAAATGATTAGCATCAACCAACAAGTGAGCTATCAACTGAGATGGCGCCCACAACAAAAAAGCCTGCCAAAAAACCAAAAAAACCTAAACCGAAAAAGGATTCAATAAGTCAAGCGACAACACCACTGATACAAACATCACTTAGTTCAGTTGCAGTTACATCACAAACACAAAGTCATGCCAAAATTGTACAGACAAGGTAAAAATTTGAACAAAATCTATGCATTTGCACACCATTGTCACTCGAACATCAAATCGAATTCGATTTTTCTCAATTTTTATTCATATTGCTTCGTTTTTTATACAGTAATCCGCCCATTGTGAGCCAAGCACCAGTAACTACGCAATCGAGTCAAACATCATCACAGTTACCATCGCTAACAACAAGTACTGGCAAATTAGATTTGGCCAATGTCATGAAATTGTGTGGCATTATGGACGATGAAGACTTTATGGATATGGACGAAACTCAACCGCCACCCAGCACCACACCGTATGATATGCCTGCAAGCATAAACACATCAACACCAAGTGATATAATGGTCACTATACCATACGTACAAAATTCCGACATGTCGCACAATCGAGTGAGTAAAATGGATACAAATTTACCAAATGAAGAAAACAAAAACTATAATCTATTTATTTAAAAAAAACGAAATCATTATCGGTGCATTTTGATTAATTTGTTTTTATTTTTAATTTTTTGAAATTGTATCAGGCTTTTTCGTTTACGATACCTTCGGTTGAGAGTGGAAACACTTCGATGGCATCGTTTTCGGATGCGTCAAAGCCGATAACAACAAAGCCAAATGGTGACGCAGCAAATGTTTGTGATGGAAAAATGCCAACGGATCGACAGTATATGATAAAAATTGACAATAATGACGGCACGCCACCGTTTCCACTGTCGATAACATTGCCACACAATCTTGGTCCAACGACGGATAGCTGTGAACCGAATAAAATTGTTTCAATGCCAGTTACATCACAAAACAATCAAACAATGCCTTTGAGCAATCCAATATCAACACCAACGCTACAAAGTCAAATCAATAAAATTCAAAATCAATTGATTGGCGTACAAAATCATGGCGCATCGAATAGCTCAACAATAAGCACAATAACCGCCACCAGCACATCATCGATATCAACGACAACTCTGACAACAAGCTCCGCTCAAAAAACAACAAAAAAGAAGCAAACCAACAAACGGAACAATAAAAAAATCATGGAAACTATAAATGTGCCAAGTCAAATTGGAAACATCCAGGTATTGTATAAAACCAAATGCTAATGCTTGGCATTTATTTTAAATGCCCTTTGGCGTTTTTTTAAATGCATTTTTCATTCGTAGCCATTGCATTGTTTGTTTGAATCCCGTTTTTAAATTTGTTTTCTTTTTATTGCGTTCAGATATCACAAGTGGATCGAAATAAATGTACACCAAATCAAAGTGGAAAGGCGATTGAAAATCAAATTCAAATTACACCGATTGTGGACTCAAATAAATCAACCACGCCCAATCAACTAACGAACAATGTCATTGGCATAACATCGTCGCCAGCGCAACAGGTTCCACCGTCCATAAATAATTTGAATAGCAACCAGGCAATAACAATGAATCTACAACCAAATCAACAGATACTCAACATTCCAAACAATGTGCAGATAATCTCATCATCGTCTAGCAATTTAAGTACACATGGCAATATAATAACAAATTCGATATCATCGCATCAGGGAAATAATGGGGGTTGCGTTAGCACTGGCGGTGGTAGTGTTATAATCAGTACATCACAATCGTATCCACAGATTGGTATGCAGCGGCCAACGATTCAATCATCGGGCGTACAAACAATTACCAATCACGGTGCATTGATTAATTCAAATGCTCAATTGTCACAATCGAGCCCAGTACCACGCCAAATACAGATGACAATGCAACCAACGCCAAACATTCAAATGCAAATGTTACCAACATCAACGCCAATTCAAACTGAACCACCACAAATGACCACATACCCACAATTAACGGGTAGTTTGACGCTATCGTTTTCGGAAGATGGTCGTTTACTTTTAAAACACAATGCAAACGCACCACAAGATTCACAATCTCAAATGATCTTGCAAGCAATTCTCACTGGAGCTCTGTGCAATGTAACGCTGATCAATGAACCAACAACAACACCAACACCAACACCTCAGCCAAATATTCAACAGACAAATCTTATTGACAGCAATAAACCATCAATAATTCTCAAATCAAACGAAGCTGTGCCAAAGCCAATCATTTCAAGTAGCAATACCATGGTTACGAATGTCAATGAACGACCGCAACTGGTGAGTTAAAAATACATATTTTCATTTGCATATACAATTAATTTCGAAAATAGTATATTTCAAACTAAATTCAAAATGAAGAAGAAAACAAAAAAACTAATTATGCGATCTCTTTTCAGATAACATCACAACAACCTACACAGAAAACACAGAATTTCACAAATATGATACAACCGATTCAAAATCATCAGCAACAACCCACTGCTTCACAGCAACAGCAACAGCAACAACAAGTACCTCCATCACTACAAACATCACAAATACAGGCAATATCGCAACAACAAACAACACAGAATATTACAGTTAATGTGCCACCCAATGCAATGAGCAATGTTCTCGGCAACAATTTTCATCAACAACCCCAACAGACAACGAATCCAGGTGTTATACCAACGACCACAATTGAATTGCCGAAAATAGCACCGAATCAACAATTATTTTCACTGAACACAATTACAAATCAAATAACACAATTGTCGCCGGGTCTAACAACAGCCGCTCTCGGTCCGATGGAAAGGCTATTGATTGTGCCGGCCGGTGTTAATAAACAGCAATTGGCAAAATGTTTAATACAGGGTCAAATTCATTTCGATAATATTGGTCAGGCAACACAAGCGAATGACGCAAAACCCAATATTCAGCAACATCAATCAATGCCACAAGCCATTGTACAGCCAAATGTTCAAGGTCAATCGCAGCCACAACCACAGATACAAACATCGAATCTCATGCAACAGCATCAGCAGCAGCATCAGCAGCAGCAGCAGCAGCAGCAGCAGCAGCAGCAGCAGCAGCAGCA